AAATTTGTACAAAATTTGATGGTAAGAACCAGCTAAGCAAAATTTGTACAAAAGATCATATAAGTTGAAGAGTAATTTCCAGTGAACAAGCATCCATTTTCCATTAATCTCCACTTTGATGGTAAGTATACACGGAAGCTATGGAAAAACACACAAACTTCGTTTCATCACAACACACATCACGTTACCTGTATGCTATTCGTCAATTGCCGTCCAAAAAAGAAATGCGACCTAGTCGTGGATTCATCGAACACAAATCCAGGTGCTGAGTGAATGTAAATCGAGAAGTTCGCAACGTCGCCATTCTGGAATAGAAAATTGCAAATTATTTGTTCAACTCGCAGTCAATGCTTAATCGAAGATAGTTTTGCTAAAGTAGAAACTTTAAAACACCTCAAAGAAGCTTCCCCAAAGAAAATCAAGCGGGAGGTTTCGACGAGTGAGAAACAAGAAGGCAATCTTAGGGCGGGCAGAAAGCGTGTCAGGAGGAGGTCGCAAACGACGTGATAAAGAGGCAGATGCGAGGTCGCTCCGGGAAGAGGAATGAAACTTGATAAGAGTGAGAATGCAAAGTGCAACAGAGAAGGTGATGACGAGCTTCCAGCTGAACCAGATAAGGCTGCGGCCTAGTGTTACAGGAGCTTTCTTCTTCATTGTTCTTCCTGGAAATGAGAAAAAAATAACTTTCATGCAACGAATCGGAGAGAAACAAGAGCCAAAGAAAGCGCCGGGAGAGAAGAGAATACATGGAAAACATGGCAGTTTCGCCGGAGAGCAAATTAATAAAGAAAGAAAAACGCATCAGGGAAGGGATGACGGCAGCGAAATGTTACCGGAATTTGGAGTAGTCTCTGAAATTCCATGAACAACAAGATAAGTAATACGTCGTCGTACGGTTGATTTTTTTATCGAATGGGCTATCTGGGCTGCGATTTGCGTAGCTACTAGGCCTTGTGGGCTCCCGAAAAAATTATTAAAAGAATTTCTTATTTTTACATAAAAATTATAAAATTCAAAGTATGAATTAAAAGGATTTTTTTTTTTTTTTTTTTTTTTTTTTTTTTTTTTTTTTTTTTTTTTTTTTTTTTTTTTTTTTTTTGTTAGTAACGTGTAGATGTTCTGATTGAACGTGAACGTGTGGGACCACTTTTAAATATTTGAGAAATTTGATTACAAAATTAAGAATAAGATGATAAATTATGCAAACTTTAATGTATAATTTTCTGAATTTTGAGATGGAAGAGAAATTTTTAACAATTATATGTAGGTGTTTGCCAGCTCCACACCCGTTGACAAACATATTTAATACAAGATTTATACCCAAACTTATTGCAATAATTAAGAGATATACATCACAATTATAAACTATGATTTTTTTTTTTTTAAGAAGATGGAGCATAACAGATCGAGATGAAATGAGCTTTAACTCTCCTAGTTTTGCTTTTGGTCTCCTTTAAGGACTTTATGTCAATGGAAGTGTATTCTTTACTTGTAAACTCATGTTAACTTCTTGATTAGCCCATGTAAGACTCCTACGACAACCGAGATACCAATGCAAGAATGGAGCCACAATATCTTGAATAGCTGTTTTGATGATGGAGTTGTAATAGCAGGAACTTTTCTATTCCCAATCATTCTGATTAAAGCACAAGACTTCATTGATAATCTGTTGCATGCGTCCATCGGCTTAATATACCATCTGAAAGAGATTTCGGTCGTTGCAGCAAATTGTACAATTTCAGCAGGCCACATTGGAGCCTTGACGATTCATTATAACATTCAAGATCTTGCCAGCAGGCCACATGGAGACTTTTTCATCCTGTTTCTGCTAGCTGGAAAGCTTCCTCAACCTGGATGGTGCCCCTAATTTTACCATTGATCTGAACAGGTAGGACAATTGTGGAGTTCTTCAGGTAGGACACTATTTCTCCTGCTTGAAGGTGAATTATATTTCTATTTTAAATTTTCCATGTCATTGATCAAGAGGTCATAGGTTCGAATCCCCTACATTCAAACGAACTCCATCGTAGCTGAGATTCCTGTGTCCCTTCAACTTCTTCGGTTACCTGGAATTTGAATCATCATTCAGTCAAGGGAGCAACTGCATTCATAAAACACAAATTCAATATGCCAATTGTAGTGGTTAATATAACCCATCAAATGGGTTATTTATGTGAAACCTGAACCTATTCATGCAGCACTTGGAAGGTGAACTTTAATGTTAAATTATAGTTTGGTTGATATCTCTTTCCAATTTTCAGATGAGCAACATTTCCGGATAAATCTTAAGAGATCTCCTTTGGGAATGAACTAATGACGAAGTAAACAAACAAAATAAGCAATAAAACAATGCAACATTACAAAGTCAATAAACTAACAATAAGGACATAGAGAAATACCCAAGAATCTGCTTTTGCAAGTGGAGCTTCCCCTGTTCCCGTGGGTGTAAAATCATCTAATTCAGCCATTGTAAGCTAACTGGAAGCTGGAAGAGCAAACCTCAACAGCCTATTGTTCCACAGGCAATCCAAATGCACTCCAGCCAATTGGGTGCAAAACATAGTAATCTGGCATACGTTTCAATCTACCAAGAACGTCCGTAGCAGTTTAACCTAAAGGATGCCCAACATGTAACCCTGAATTTCTATTTTGGGCCGAATCAAGTGGGCTTAATTTGTTCTAAATGGGCTAATTTCAGTAATGGTCTGATATTTTGAGTGGTTATTTATGTGGTTTGAATGAACCTCCTTTTTGTATTTTCAAGAAAGCTCGAGGCAAAATATCTCTCTCTCGCTCTCTCTGGTTTCAGTTTTCTTGTGAAGCAGTTCGATAAAGCTCGAGGCCATCTATGGAATCATGTGCAAGGATTCTCTCCCCTACTCACTTCCCTTCTCTTTTCCCACTGCCCAATTTAAACAGAAGCAATTTCAATCCAGTTTGGCCAAAAAAGCCAGAAGCCTCCAAGTCTTTGCGCTTGCATTGCCATAAGATGTATGTCCCCGGTGGGTTCTCTCTTTCTATTTCTTTCTGTCTTTCCATTTCATATACACAGATTTTGCTCGTTCCTTTGCTTATCTATAAATTCATAATCAGGGTTTGGAGAAGCGTCGCCCGAAGCGAAGGCAGCCAAGAATCTGCACAATTTCTTCACGTATGTTGCTGTTAGGATCGTGACGGCGCAGCTTGAGGTTGCTCTTCAATTATTACTCTGTTTTAATTGCTCTGCGACGTTGTTGGTATTGATTCTTGTTCTGGTAGAACAGAGCTACAATCCAGAGGCGCATACAGAATTAATGGAGTTTCTTGATAGGCATTCACTGAACGATGGGGACAAGTTCCTGAGCAATTTGATGCGGGAATCTTCAAGGCATAAGAGTCTCGGTAAAACCCAATTCTACACTTGATAGATAATTTAGTCAAGAATGAAGAAAATTGAAGTTTATTGTTTGTGTTTGACTGTTTCTAACAATGAGCCTTAAACTGATGGTCAAATTCATGGCTGGGGGGGGCAGCATTGCGCATACTAGAGGTGAGTCTGTTCACTTGAGACTTGATTAATGCTTCCCCCACCGTGGAAACGCTCATAAGCTGGCAAGTTATTTGATTCCAGGTTCGATCTGCATACTGCAAAAACGATTTCGAATGGGACAACCTCAAGCGATTAGCTTCCAAAGTAAGGAAATTGGTCCGTTTCTCTACCATTTTCCTAATAGCATTATGTTCAGTTGTTTGGTAAGTTGCTGCAATTCATTATTTTCAGATGGTGGGTGAATCTAACACGAGACTGATGAGGGAATATGTGACAGAGACGAGTCCAGATGCCGAAAAGTGAGGAAATTCTGCACCTTCTGTTTTTGCAATTATTATACATAAATTCAGTGTATTTATAATATGATCATGCCACTCCACTTGTTGGGGCTTTGTTCCAAACAAAAATTGGCAAACTCGATGATGGAAATATATACAGATTAAATTTTGTTGCGAGTTACAAAATGCCATAATGAAATAGAACAGACAATAGTTCTCTGAAATCTTAGCGCTAAGCCTCAATCTAAGCTCACGACAGAACTACATCGTAGCTAACTATAACAAACATCACTTTGATGTTCTGAAGTAAGCTCCAATAGTGACTATCAAAAACAATTCCATCACTAACAAATCATGACTTGACAGCGTACCAAGACAATAGAAACCTGAATTAAACGTAGAGGTTGAAAACTCCCCGCTATTAAACGAAGACTCAGATGAACGAGTGTGCTTTGTGGGTCATGAGAATTAGAAAACACATTTACTCGACTTTTCCTTTCACCTAAAAACGCGTTTGCTAGAGACGGGTTTACGCACGCTTATAAATAATGATTCATTACTCTCTCCAACTGAATCCACCCCTCTAGCACAACGTCCGTGTCTACCTTCCTTCGAAAGACTAAACGTCCTTGCTAGCACACCTCCTAATGTCTAGTCTTGATACCATTTATAACTATCCAAGCCAACCACTATTTTCCTTTCGAGCTTTCCATCAAAGTTTTAAAACGTTTCTATTAATAAAGAATGTTTGGACACCTTTATAAAGAATGTTTCATTTTCCTCTCCAACTGACATGAATCTCTCACAAAAACTCTATTGAAATCACTCGATTCTCATGCAAATGTAATAAAACTAACTGACATGAACTACCTCTCTCCAAGTGTGAATCAAGACCAACACAACATTTAATCTCGTGATCAAAAGATTCGAACATTAAGAATCACATGTATGAATGAATCTATTCTCACACTAACAATGTTCATGTCAAAAAATTTCAGCCAGATCATGCAACTCCAAGTATATTGTATCTCATAAAATGGCAGAAAAGTCCAAATCCATTGCTCCCTCGAATCATCATAACCGTAAAAAAAAAAAAAAAGAACCAAACATCCAAACTTGAATTACACGAACATTCAAAGTACATAATTAAAATAGATAAATATTCATGCACAGCATACACTAACACTTGAAACATGTTCAATTTTCCAACTTCTGCGTTGGCAAATATAATATGAAGTAAGAAAAGCATATATGTTGTGCTCAAACAAGTTGGATGATTCCTCAAACATTGATACACAAAAGAAAAGAAACAGAAAAGGCATGGTATATTAAAATCACAACAATCTGGAAATTAATTTATTAGAGTAGAGTGGGAGAGATATCCAAGGGAAAAGGATTGCCCAACATGGTGTCCATGTAATACTGTGGATGCCCACCATCCATCACTACAAACTGCATATCTTCAGAGGGTTTCCAGTGCCTTTTCCTTTGGTTGATGAACCAGTTGTTGATTTGCTTTTGATCCAACCCAGTTGATTGAGCCAAGGCTAGCTTCTGTGATTCCTGTTCAAAAACACAACATTACAGTTACCATCCAAACTAACCCTTACAAGAACAACATAGGAAATGGTGAGTGCATACAGATGGATAAGGCCACTTGTAATGTCTACTCCACCAGTCAAGGAGCTGTTGTCTGGCCTCCTTAGGCAGCTTCCCTTTCTTCCTTTTCTTCATGAATTCTTGCTTGAGACTGCCCAAGCATCCACTGTACTTGCGGAGGAGCTGACCTTTCAGTTCACGGTCTTCGGCTTGAGGGTCAATAGAGTGGCCATTGATATCAACTTCCTCTTCAGATGAACCATTCCTTTCAAATGCCTCACCACAAACTGGGTGGTATGCATACAATATGTCAGCCATCAAATGAACTCGAACATACATGTTATCGTAAATCAGCACCACATGGTTATTAACCCATTCATAGGTTCGGTTGCAGTTGAGCTAATTATGATCATGTATTCTTGGACATGACTCTTTATTCAGAAGAAGATGACAACATACACTATTTTCTAGGATTTTTGAACAGATACGAACATATAAAGGTGATGGGCAGAAAATACAAAAAGAAACTGTGAACTTACATACTGAATTTCAAATCAAAACACCAGAAAATTCAGGTGAGATGTTGAAAAGCAAAAACAAAGAGGGTTCTGTATTTTCAAAGCAACAATGTTGAACACAACTCAATGTGTGAAACACTCGCACTTGCATTGCTTGGGATTCTTTGGGATGATGAACTAAGTAGGGTGGAGGGATATTCATACTACAGGGTAGCCAATCTATTCCTAAAATTTCTAAATGTTTTTTTCTAAAATAACTAAATCATTTTTCTAAATTTATTCTTAGAATTCCTAAATCATTTTGCTAAAGACCTAAATCATTTTCTTTAACATAAATATAGTCACTCATACAATGGTTTGGCTTAACCCTATTGGGCTAGTGATGATATTTTAACAAACTTAACATAGTGATGAATTTTTGTGATGCCCCACATTAGTTGGAAGGAGAACGAAACACCCTTGTGGAAACCTTTCCCTAGCAAACGCGTTTTAAGGCTTTAAGAGGAAGCCCAAAGAGGAAAATATCTCCTAGCGGTCGGTCTAGGTCATTACAATTTTAATAGCATTAAACATAAGGATAAAGCGCAAAAGGCCAGGGGGTTTAAGAAGCCTATATCCCTTGAGCGAAAAATATATAAGACATAGAATCATATAGACAATGTATAGGCAATGGAAAAGAATGAGAGAAGAAAAACACAAGCCAATGACTAAAAAACATGGACATAATGTCACTTGATCTCTTCAATAACGCATTACAAACAATGAATTGATAATTAGAACTCAAAAAGAGTGCAAATAAACACTCCAGTGGACATGACTCAATGACTTGTTAGATCTCAATCAACCATACGCAGATAGATTCCTGCAGTTCTACATGACAGTTGACACAAACATCTAGATGATAACCTAATTTCCAGTTATGGAAACAAAAATAATAATATAGTTTTCAAGTAAGTGATGAAAGAGTACTAGTTGAAACTTCATGGATGCTGAATTGCATTAAAAAATTAAATCCCAAGAACAAGAAAATCTTGTGATGTATACAAACAAAGAGATCAAACAAATCAAAGGTTTAGAATTTTTCAAAAACAGTTTTAGATTATTAATTGTTATATATGAAAGAAATTAGGCAGACGAAAAAAATCAGCTAATTAATACACTAAGAATAATAAATGAAGCTACGTGGTATGTAGTAATATAAGCATTATAAACATGCATGAAAAAGTATAGAGGAGGATGAATTGATTTAAAAATAACGTAATTGGTGGAAAAATTCACCAGCGTCGGAGGAGGAAATAGAGAGGGCTTTGAATTGGCACTCGATTCGGTGAAGAAAAAGCATGGCATCCCTAAAGGGTTTGGAAAGTTCTTGTTCATATTTAGTGAGCATCTCGCAATAAGCTTCCATGAACTGGTCAAGAGCCGGATCTTCACCAATACACCCCGTACAAGACGTACCACTCATTGTTAGTGCAGATGCACACGCTCCTTCAAGCCTCGCCACCACTTCCGGCGGCGCCCCCACCTGAGAAAAGTGAGAAAACGAGTCCAAAACAATAAAGCTTCAGATCTAAAGCTATAGAGAGAGTCCTAAAAACAAGTCTATTATTTATGGTTAGTCGGTTAGTTGGTTGGTTGGTTGGTTGGTTGGTTACCTTTCGACAATTGACATAGGCAGCAAGGAGGCGGTGGTAGTGAGGATGACCCATAATTTTGGCCTTTAATTCACAAGAAGACGAATTTGCATGACCACACCCATTATCGTTGTTGTTGTTGTTGTTGATGGTGGTGTTTTCATCCATTAAGTAACAAATAGGGTTAGAAGAAGAAGAAGTGTTTGTGTTGCTGATGTTGTTGGTGGTGTAATTAGGAGAAGGAAGAGGAGGAAATGGATTACATGCATCTCCTTGGTGGTGGTGGTGGTGGTGGTGGTGGTGGTGTTGGTGAGAGGACATTAAAGGCATCATCATCATCATGGAAGAACATAACCCATTATTACTATTATTTTGATCTCCAAAATTCATCATACCTGAAGAACTTCCGCCAGGACCATCCATAGAATACAACAAGAACAACAACAAGAACAACAACAACAAGTGTTTATTTCTTTTAATACACCTTTTTTCTTTTCTTTTCTTTTCTTTTTTTTTTTGTTTTTTTGTTTTGGAGGGCACTCCCGGGATTTTAGCTCCGGAAAGATCAGGCTTTTATCAGTAGGAGTTTTAGGGGGTGAAAGAAAGAGGAAAAGGCAGGCGGTCAGGCATGCTAATTGTCTGTGATGTATGTGGGTTGTGTTAGGAAGGAAGGAGGAGGAGATTGGATTAATGTAACGTCGAGATGTTTAGATGGGGGTGGCAAAGTTTTGATTTTTTTTTGTTTTTTTTTTTTTTGTTTTTACCTTCCCGATGAAAACTCTCGTCTTCCTCTTTTGTTGCAGTGGCAGTGAGGAGGGACTACTGGCATTACTGGCAAAAAGAATTGAGAGGGAGGGCGACGATCAAATCGAGGAAAGGGTTAGGAGAGAAGAAGGCACCGCACCGCACGGCACACAGATGGAAAACCAAGCCAGTAAGCTAACACTCACCCAGTGGCCATGGATGAAAACCCCTTCTCACTTCTCCTCTCTCTCTCTCTCTCTCTCTCGCACCACAATAATAGCGTACCCACTTGGATTGGATTTACTTATTTATTAATTATTATTATTATTATTAAGAAGAGAGTAGTGAGGAGTAGTAGTGGNGGTTGATTGCAATGTGTCCTGTGATTTAATATTATTGTTCCCAGTAAACCCTATTTTCATTTCCCACACGGTTTCAGGTTTTGAAGGCGTTTGTGCACATCACTTCAGTTATAAATGAACTGAAAAAAGGGTTAGCAAACTCAACTCAGCTGGGCACGTAAAAAGTGGAAAAAGAAAAGAGTAATTATGGTCTGAGTCGCCCCATCTAATCTGCTAATAATTTGGCATGGAAAAAAGTGGAGTTTTTGTTTGCAGTAAGAAAAAGGTGGTAAAGTTAGTGGGACACTCCGAATGTCGCTTCTTCTCTTTAACTCTACTACTCAGCTTAGCTTATTAGCTTAGCTTATTAGCTCCTGCCATCGACTTTGTTTCCAATCTCCATTCAAGCTCGTGGAAACACAAGTGTTCTCTTTTCCCTTCAAACCATAAAGGAAATCCTTGCCTAAATCTCTCTGTGCAACACTGTCCATTCAATGTTTCAACCCTTTGTTCCCTTCTCATCTTTTTTCTTTTTTATATTGTTGTTTATTATTTACCTTCAACTCCTACTGCATGGGAATGGCTTCGCCTTCTATCTTTATTCATATTCACATCCATTCCTCATACGTAAAGGCTTCCCACCACATCATCCATAAAAAGTGTCCTGCTTCGTCACTCTCAAATTTAACTCCCAATTATACGATGAATTGAGTCAAATATGTGCTTCTCTTCTCCCACCCTCACATGAATATACATTTTTCCCAATATGATTACCTCTTCCTAATTTGTATACACAAGCTATACATACAACTTCATTCACTATTTGATTGAGATGCTATAATTAAAATTCTCCTAATTCCATATTGTCGATGCTAGCAATAACAACTCGTGAGACTGTGATTGTGATTTAAAAGGCTTGCCTACATCACTTCTACTAGCAAAGGATAAATAATATAGAAAATAGGAGGATTTAAAAGAGTTTTCTCTCGAGATTTTAAAACGCGTTTGCTAGAGACAACTTTCTACACCCTTTTTGTTACCCTCTTCAACTAACGTGAGATCTTAGAATTCGTCTCATTCATGAGATCTCACAATCTACCCCTTAGTGATCCAAGAGAATTTCACACCCTTGCAGGGTCGAGTCGGATCCTAGAGACTAAATCATGATTGAGTTTGAAGAATAGGTATGAAAGTAGGGTATTAGTGAGATTTGAAGTTGGATTGAATTAGAATAAATGTTTGTAAAAGAGAATACATAAGATTAGGTGTAGAAAAAGGGAAGAACAATCAAATTGGTTTGTACGAGGGAGAGAGAGAGAGAGAGTGGGGAGAAGAATATACGTGACCAATAAAGAAATAATACTAAACAATTAGGGTTTTTTAGGGTTTGAAGAAGGAAAAAAAAAACATATATTTAATGTATGTATAGAGTACGCGAACCCGTCAGCAGAGCGTAAGTAAGAATAAAGGGGAGGTGAGAGAGAGAGAGAGAAAGGGAACCCTAGATTGTATTTAGATTTAGGGTTGGAAGCAGTAACCAAATCACTTTAAGTCTTTTCCATCTACAGACCCATCACACTCGTCAAGCTTAGGGTTCGGTTCGGTTCGGTTCGGTTCCAATGAATGGCACTACCAACCCCATCAACACCCAGTTTTATGAGCCCAGTTTTTGGTCCATTATTATTTTCCACTTGATTCCACGCATTTGTGCTGTGTCCAATAAAATAAAGCTGATTTGACCCTCTTTTGACTCCACTCTTTTTAATTTCTTTCGCTACCTTCAAAGAGTTGACATTATGAAATGTGAAGATGGGCATTTGAGTGTGTGTTGTGGGATAACATACATAATATAAATACACGCTATTATTTTACAACCATTCGTCTCCCAGCAGCTTGGTCGTCCATGGCATGTATATTTATATGACTGATTTAACTACTACTGCCTATACACAACAAACAAACTGCTGCTGCACCTGCCACATGCCACCCTCTGTTGCAACTCCTTTTCCTTTGTCCTTCCTTTTTTTTTCTCCATTTTACACCGTTCTTGTTTTACAGCTCTCTCACCCTTTGCCCAAACTGTTCAATTTCCCGAGAGGTTCTCTCCTGAAGATTTGTGTCATAACTCTGTCCACGCTTTTGTGTGATTTATGACACCGACATGTTAAGAGAAGACAAATGGTTCCGTTTCAAGATTCACGTCAAAATATCATAATAGATCTCACATCAATTGAAAAGAGGAACAAATAACATCTAAAAAGAATAAGTATCAGTGAAGATGCTAAGCTCGCCAACAGAGAATGTTAGACTCCAAAAAGGTGGATTGTGAGAATTTCACATTAATGGAAGAAGAAACAAAACATTGAAACTTTAAAGGGTAACTCAAAAAGAAAAGTCCAAATAAAGAAAACGATATCTAGAATGAGTTTGAGAGAATAATTTGACAGAGTTATGATTTTTTGACATCCACAGTGAAGTAACAAGTCATTCTTTGAAAATAACCTTCCAACTCCAACTGTTTGTGTCATTCCTTCCCCCGTTTCCCCAGCGAAGCATTTTGAAAAAAAGAAAGAAATACCATATCTAGAGGAAGATCATGATTTAGTAATTGAATCAATACTTTAGGCATTTCAAGGGCGATACTTTTCATATTTAGGGGGGAAAAAACAAACCATATGAAAAGAGTTGGAATTATGGTGGGGCACAGCTCCTCCTTTTGCGCTTATCTCTGTGCACCACACAAAAAGGGGGAGAAAAAAAAACCCCACACATCTCATCATCCTCCATTAATGAATATAACACTTGAGAACTGGAATGCATGCTTCCCTAAAACATAATGAAACAAAAAACTTGTGAGTTTGGTTTCAGAAACTAAGGGATTTGTGAATGACTGAGTTGTTGGTATCTTTGATATTTTGGAAGGTATCTTGCTCAAAGTGAGTGGCAAGGCAAGCACATGGTTTCAGGCATATATTAAAGGGCCCTTCTTCGACCAAACCCTCAAAAACACAAAGAGGGTTATAAAGATAGTACCACAAATTGTTCTGTTGGCCGACAATGACATGACTCTTGACTAATTACTGCCACTACCATGAATATAATTTATGTGTGCTATTCGTTATGAACATGAACCCTCTGAACCAGCATCAATACCTCAAAATCTATTCCTTTTTAACCAACTACCTTACTTCTTCCTCCTCTATGTGCCAACGGGGGAAGGAACCAAATCCCCCCTGTTCAATTTCAGTAAGTTTTCTGGAAATGGAGTGTTTGAAGAGGAGGTGAATTTGCATAAATGGGGCTGAAGTAGTATTGAACGTACAACAAATCCCACAAACTGCAGGTTCATATTTCCATGGCACCCTCGAGAGCAGACAGGCACATTAATGAAAAGCACTAGTGGGCACTGATCATGCGGTGCTAAATTAAACGTCGTATCATGCGGTGTCGCATCAGTCAACCTACGCTGAGCCGAGGATAATGCCAATGTTTCTTCCACACATTAGCCGAGTCTCTACAGAAGCCAGAAGGGTTTGAATAATGGACTCACACCACAACCTTCTTCCCCCACACCGTCCCCTGCTTCCTTAGTTTCTCCAACATAATCCTCACCCATGAAGAACTGGTGGATGATGAAATTCAGTTCTTACACTTGGGATACATAACCAAATACTCAGATCAATGCAGTCGCAAGAACTTGGATCTGTAATCTTGATATGTCTATTAAACTAAGAAGCTCCAATCTGTAATCTCTTCAATCCCTGAAAGTACAGAATTCACTGTTCTTGGTTTCTAAATTGATACTTCTTCGGGCCTCCAACTATATCAAGGCCCATTTAATGATGATCTAGTAATGAAACAAAACATCTCTTTAAGTGGTTCAGTCCAGGTCCCTAGAAACTCAGACCAAAGATTCCAATCTCAGAGATCGGTAGGCTTTTCTTTCCGAACATGAACTACTTTCTCACCGACTATGTTGTAGCAAGCGATCTTAAGCACTTGTAACTTAGTTGAAATTTAGCGACCCAAACCGAAGTGTATCATAATATTTTATTGATCTTGGTAAACCCAAATATGATTAAAGGGGTGAAAGTATTCCATGTTCTTCGTTTTTGGACGCTTCCCCTCGAATTATCTGTAAAAAGAAACCCAGAAAGAGAGGCTATAGCCACCAAAAAGAACTCTACGAATTAGGGCTCGACGAAATAAAAGACGGGTAGTTTGCCTTTGATTCCCCCTTCCACACCTTCTGAATATACATGCAAAATGAAGCAAAAAGAAAGAAGATATAGAGATCATTACATCCTTACAGCGCTAGACATAGATTCTTCGTAAGACGGCATCTGCGTAGACTTTTCCCTCGATTTGCTTTCAAACGATTCCACCAGCGAATTGTGAACTCAAGCTTCGCTGCGTTATGAACTCACATTCTTGCATTATCAAATACAAACGTGGACAAGCACCCTGAGGGAAGGGTCGGCATGCCGGAGTAGTGAATACTGAACAGGACGAAGTGAACTGTGAATTTGAGCCAGGCGCCGAACCACTTCTACGTCGGTTGGGCCGGGGGCGGCTGTGTTGGGCTCGAGTATGGAACTTAGTTTAGCCCACTAAGCTGGCCCAACTCAGAAGGCATCGATGCATGAGTTGGGTAAGTATTATATAAAATAATCAAGTTTAACACCAGATTTTGTATATAGCTTTATCTAAATCTTAACTAGTTTTTCTTTTGCACGACGATTAGTTACATCATGTAATTAGTGTTAATTAGATTAATCCCAACGCTTAATTTCTTTACATTCACTAATTATTTGAAATATTTATTTTTAAATTTAGCCGATATGGGTTTGAAGAGTGAGTGGCATATCATATCACTTCATCTAAATTGACACCACCTGTCCAAATATTATTAGAACAAATGTGTCACTCTACACTTTGTTGA